TATATGTAATATCAAAAATTTTAACAAAATAAAAAATTAATTATTTAATAATATAAATTTTATTTTTTAATATTTTAAATTCATAACTTATATTACATTATTAATTTTAAATTTTAATTTTATTTCTCGTTACTCTATTCGTATTTAAATGAGGTGTGGTAATTGACTCAATTCTAATTGCATGCGGTGGGATATTGGATTGGGGGGGAGTGCCCGGATGAATTTCTGTTTTGGAACGAGGTAGCGCAATTCCCCGGCCTCTCGCCAGCTCAAAAGGACGCTCGACGGCTTTTTGAAGTCTGAAGTCACCGGCGGTGGACCCAATTTGAGGAAACCTCGACGTAGCAGGAATTGCTACGCCGCGTTAATAAAAGGAAAAGTTATTTATTTATTTTATTAATTATAAATAATATTTATGTAATTATTATATTTTCGGTTAAAATCCTTCCTTCGCTTTCTGACATCAGACAGTTTCATCTTTAACCTTTTTTTATGCCACTAACAGTCCTCAACCTTTTGAGAATGGCCCACTATTAGTCCTTTCATTATTAGCTTGGGCGTTAAATCTAATGGAAAACGATGACCTCAATGGTGAGCCTTTAATAGACCTTTCAAGTAAAAAATAACTTGCATATCTTTTCTCACCTTCATGTCATATATATAGTCAGGGGTAGAGGTAGAAATTTTTTTCAGGGGGCAAGATGCTAAAATTTTCAAAGTTCATGGGGGGTTAGATAATTTTTCATATACTAATTATATACTGATTTGCAAGATTTTCAAATCAAAAGGGTCCATTGAGGACCTCACTATTTGCCACAACAGTAACTTTGATTAGATTTAACACTCAAGTTTACAGAAAGTCCAGTGATGGACCTTTCTGAAAAAGTTTGGAACTATCAGTGGCATAAAAATGAAAGGTTAGGGATAAAATTGTTTCATTCCAGAAGGGTTAAGGATAAAATTGTTTCATTCCAGAAAGGTTAAGGATGCAAAGATATATTTACCCTTTACTTTCTCTGTGCGTCAGTGACAGAAAGAAAGTTCCCACAAATCCTAGTGCATGGCCTATGTTTTAGAACATGGACACAAGCTGTCCAAAATATATTGATTCGTGCAATCTTTCCAGCATTGAACATCTCCTTTACAGTTGGAGAAGATGAAAAAGAACCCTAATGACAACAGCACAAGTTCATGGCAAAAGAGGAAGCCCGTGACATGCCCAACTTTATGTAAGAAATGTGAATAACAACAGTAACCAAACAAGCCCAATGGCCAAATAGTTCACCACTAAGGTTAAGAGTTTAAATTCAAGTGGTTGAGAGTTCAACTCTCATTAATTACTTATAAACTTACCTCATTCCCTCAAATTTCTCATGTTAAATAAAAAAAAAAAATCGTAATCATGCAACATATAAGTCACCTAAAACAATTTCCATTCTAAATAATGTAGATACACGTTCATGGTTGAATCAATCTCAATTGTATCAATAGGCTTCCCAGGAATCTTAAAAATTGAATCCACTAGTAAGTAAGTATTATCTTTTAGAGCCAATTCATAGTTTAAGGCTTAAGACTAGCACTTAAAAAAAATAAATTTCCCTATATGTATTAGACTAATATAGGGATGTATCCTTAATATCATCCAGAAAGAAATTAGTTTTAAAATATAAAAAAGTCAATCCAAGAATATTAGTAAATACCAAAAACTAAGCTTCACTAGAAGCAAAATAGTCCAACATCTCCTAACAAGCAATAACAAGGCAATAATCAACAACTTAAATAGTTTAGTAGTAATCATCTTCTTATGAAAGTAAGAAATCCTAAGATCAAATAACACGTGGATAAGATGATATTAAGGGATGGGAGAGGGTTGATTTTGATTATGCAACTCAATAAAAGAAGAAGAATAAGAAGAAGAAGAAGAATAAGAAGAAGAAGAAGAAGTAACAACAGGGCAATACTCTTTTACCGCTCATTCCGCAATGGCTAAGGCCTTACAAGCCCATGGAATCCTCAAAATTTGGGCCTATGTGGGTCGGAGCCTAGAGATTGCCATTTGGGCTGTGAATTGGGCTCACAGGGAGAATCGGGTGTTCATCTTCATCCTCATTTACTCCCCAAAAATAGAAAACTTCATCCTCACTTTTCTACGATAGGAACACTAGAACAGAGTTGAGTATAGGACAATGTCTGAAAATCTGGAGTTGAACTGAACTGGGACAAGATTTTTAGCAAGGTCAATGGTGGGACTGGAAATATTCGGTTCACGATTTTCCAGGAAAACAAACAAAGATGTAGGGATAAAATATAGAGCGAGCCAGTTCCGAGCAAGACACAGTTTAGATTAATCTTTTCATTGCTTAACTTTATGTTAAGTAACTTCTTAAGTTGTCTTGTGTTTTGGGTGTTGTAGATTTTTAAGTCCTGGGAATCCATGTCAAACAAAAGCTATAGACAATTTAAATCCAGCTGGAAACGAGGGAAGATTGAAGAAAGTTCTGAGCGAGGCAATAATTACTAATAAACGAAGTGCCAAAAGCAACATTCCAAGAAATTGTTTCACCAAAGAAAAAAATACAAATAAATGAAAAATCTTGGTTTGTAATTCGAACTATATTGGTATGATGGTAAACTAAAAACTATTAAATCCTTACTACTAAATTGTTTATTTTTGTTTAATAATTTAGGTAGTTTAAATTGTATAATTTAATCTATTTTTTTTTTGTAAAAATTAATAAATTGCTTGTTTTGTAATTTAGATAATATTAAATTACAAAATATAAGTTAATTAATAAGAAGGTGTCTCAAAATTAAAGAGTTTATTTTCACTTAATAATTAATATTATGTAATTTAAGTAGTTGAGGTTATTGTCACATTTTAAATAATTAATATTATATATTTTTAACATAATTATTTATTATATTTTTGTATTATTTTTTTTAAATTTATATTTTTTAGTAAATTAAAAAATATAATCATTAATTAAAATAAATAAATATGACATTAATAATTAAAAATATAATAATATTATTACTCATAAATTTATATAATATTTAAAAAAATTAATTATCCAAATTAAAGTAAAAATGATAAATTGGAGTGTGCTACTACTGCCTTGTCCCTCCATCCTCTCAATGTATACAGAAAGTACTACTATTATCAAGATTTTTTTTTTTTTTT